ATCCCTCTTGAACTGGGGCGCACAGAACTGGACACAATACTCCAGCTGTGGCCTGACCAGTGTCGCATAGAGGGGGAGGATCACCTCTTTGGCTCTACTCGAGATGCACCTGTGGATGCACGACAAGGTCCGGTTAGCCTTGCCAACCATGACCTCGCATTGTCGGCCCATGTTCATCTTGGAGTCAATAATGACCAATGCTCAGAGCTCACTGCATCTCAGCAGCAGCACCTGGCCCTGCTGTAGCTATTAGGCAGTGTTCTCCTGCCCCAACCAGGCCAGGGGCTGAGGAGAGAAAGGCTTTGAGGTGGGGATGCCTGGCAGTGTGAAGCCTGGAAACTCTCAGGTTGTGCTCTGTGGAGCAAGTCTCCCCTGATCCATCTGCTGTCCATACCTCAGGCTGGCTACTCAGCTCTCTGGATGGGGAGGAGCTGACTGTTGCCCAGCCTGGAGCCCTGTGGATTTAGCTATAGGAGGAGGGGATGGAGTGGGGGTGGGGTGGGGAGCTAGATAAAAAGCTGAGTTGAGGGAACAGCAAACAGCAGCACCTCAGATGTTTGATCGCAGGTTGTGACACAGGAGAGACAGTGCCAAGCAAGACCAGAGCGGTGGAAGAGGCACCTAGGAGTCCAGACAGGCATCAGCGTGCTTGCCTCCTTCCCCCAGCTGTGAGGAGAAGTGCCATGACTAGTGTAACCATGCTGTGGAGCACTGGCACTAGGATGGTGCTGCTTATCTGTACAGTGCTGCTGCTACTTACCTCCCGACAGGTGAGTCTGGTTTGGTGGTACAGGGCTGAAGGGGGTGAATGAGGATCGCTCAGGACTGGAGCAGACTACCCTGGGAGCTGTCTCCCTGTGTGTGCTGGGGTCTGTCCTTTGGCACCAGCTGGGAGCATCCCTTCCTGCACCGCTCAGGCTCCAACCCCCATGGCAGGCAATGCCAAGACAAAAACCACTATAGGGTTTGAGGATGGGCAGACAGAGCATGCTGAGGAATGTGGGCACAGGCACTGTGTGCGCTGGTTGCAGGTACTTCATGGGAGAACTGTGTCACACTGGGTGAATCAGCACTGCAAGGAGATGAACCCCAAGCCAAGCATTCTCACTGTGTGCCCCCCTGCCCGTGGCAGGGATGGAGTTGGAAGTGAATGCTGTACAGCAGCTGGAGCAGAAGTAGTTTTCAGAGTGAAGCCACCAACACTGAGTTATTTCAGATTTACACCAGTGGTGCCAAGGGCAGGCTCAGGCCCACTCAGGTATTTACCTACAGATGTTCTGATGGGTTCAGTCCCCTCACCCTGAATCCCTGTGGCTCGCAGCCCTGGCACTCATCAGGACCAGCAGCACTTTGATCATCAGGCTGTGGGGAAAAACTAAGGCACAGATTGGGAAAGGGACTCACTAAGGGCCAGCCAGGAAGCTTGTGACTGCATCAGAATTTTGGTGCCCGCCTCGAACTGCAGACCAGCCTGTCTTGTTGTTGGGGCATGAAGTCCTGGTCTGACCATGGGTCTGGCTGGGCATCTGCAGCAAGTGGGATAGGCCCCTAGGAGCAAGCCAAGAAAGGACTCCCATGGGCCTCTGTTTATTGCCTGTTGCATCAGGAGGAGCCTTGGGGTAGGCTCCCTTGGGCTGTCCTGGGACTGGAGTGCCCCTGCTGCCCTCAGGATGGCTTCACATGAGAGCCTGGAGAGACCAATGGGGTTTGATAATCACAAACACAGGCCAGTGTTATTGAAGCTGTCTCCTCACACCACTGCCTGGGGCCCTGTATTCCTGACCTACTGCCCTCTGCTATTCCAGGAATAGGGCTCCTCCCCAAGAGGTCTGCCAGTGCTGCTCAGTGCCATCTCAGCCCTGGGCTTCTCCAGCTCTGCCCATGTACCTTGTTCTGCCCATGTTCCCCGTCGCATGCTGTCCCATGCAAGGCTCTCCCTACTCAGCTCTGGTGCTGCCCCTCAGTTCAGACCTGCAGCCTGTCTGTGCTACCCGGTCTTGAGTTCATCCTGCTCTGCCAATGACTCTAATTCCTGATCTGAAATGAAGCATGGAGCACAAAGCGCTGAGGGGCCTGCCCAGGAGGAAGGTGCTGGGATAAGCAGGGGATCTGCTCATGCTATTGGGCCCTAGTCTGTTGAACATTCCCCCTCCCACAGAGACTGCCACTAGCTCCCTTCCCTGGATGAGCTGGATGGTCACAGTGGCCTTTGCATCTGTGCCAAGTTGCTGGCTACAGAGGGACCCCATGCTGCCCCACATAGCACTAGGTTAGTGCAATGAGGAGCCTAACTAGGGTGTGGCACAAATCCAGGCTTCTCACATTGCCTGAGCCCTATGCTCCTGCATGAGGCACTTGCACATGGCATGTAGATCCTGGAAGCTCTGGCCCAGCCCACTAGCAGAGGTTCCCGCAGAGAGCCAGCTTTTCTTGCCCTCCTTTAATGTGTAGGGACCTACAGCTGCTGAGAAGCTGCCAGGCCCCTGCTGTCTGAACTGGGACTGTGCCCATCCCTACCCTTCTGCCCAACAGATTCTGATGCCATCTGGGCAGCAAGGATGTTCAGCAGTCAAGGGAAGCACATCCTGTCGGCAGCACCTGCTGTGCCTCTGGTGCTGCTCTCTGGGGGTGTAAGCAGCCTGGTATCGCTTTCCTCATGTTCCTTATGACAAACCAGGGCTTTCCTTCCCCTCCCTGTACACAAACCAGGGGCTTTCCTACATAGGGTGCCTGGCACAGAGACTAAACTAGAGTGCCACCCTGCAGCCCCAGGGGTGGGGGTTAGGGCACACTTTTTGACCCTGGCAAGAGGCACCAAGATGTAGAACAGGAGAGGATGGAGAGACAGGACTCTTGGGTCCCTTTTGCAGCCCTGACATCACCATGGTAGGTTATGGAAAGCAAATGCCTTTGGTGTCTCTATGCCTAAGTTTCCCTGTCAGGAGGTGCTGTGCCTGGGCAGTAGAGCTTTGGGGACTGCTGTTTGATGCTCCCAGAGGGTCTTGACCCCCACTCATCCTACCCACGTGGGCTAAACACTGTAACCAACTTTCACCTGACAACAGGTGCTGAGCATGATGCCTTCTCCACTGTCTCTGTGCGAGCCAGGGCTTCCCTAGGACGGCCCCTGGAGTTCTTGTGTCTTGTTGGAACCAGGTCCTGTGCACATGCTCCCAGGTCAGGTCCTAAACCTGGATTCTCCCAGGTCCTTGTAGCCCCACCCCCAGAGCTCCCATTCCCTCTCTGTCCTCCTGGGACAGGAGCAGGGCAGGCAGGGTTGGGCCCTGAGGAGGGGTGAGCTATTCCCAGCCCTTCTCTCCTGTCCCTCTAGGTCACATCAAGTCCTGCACGGAGCTGGGCATTGCTCAGTGCCACAACCAACCAGGACCCCTCGCCAGCAGCTGCTCCTGTAGCTGGCCTTGAAGGGGTGCACACATCTCGCCGCCTGGCCAGGATGACCCCCTTCTGGAGAACAGTGGGCACCAAACCCCTAGGAGCTTACTGCCGGTATGGCCTGGAGTGCAGCACCAAGGCATGCAGGTGAATGTGGCTCCTGAGAAGGAACAGGCTGGGGAGGACTTACCTGCACTGCCAGGTCTAGGCTGGGGGACAAGTTGCTCCTGGCACCTGGCCTTGGCATCACATCACCTTATGGGCATCCCCAGCACTAGCCCCCGGTCCTATGCGGTGCGATGCAGGGGGAGAAGATAGCCTCATGAGCTGAGTCCAAGAGTGGAGCTGCCGCTGGGGAGGGGATACCTGTGTACTGGGAGACTCTGCATATCAGGGGTGTTATACTGCATATTCATGGGGCCCTGCTGGACTAATACAAGCATGGACAGTTCGTCCCTAGTCCATCAAAGAAAGGTCACAGCCTGGGCCTCCACAGATAGGCTCCACAATGCCCCTCAGCCCCCACCAGCAATTGCCTGCCAGTGTCCCAGCCTTGGCCTCCCATTCAGCTCCACCTCCTATTTCAGTCCTGGCCTGCCCCCTCCAGAGCTGTACTGATGCCTCTGTGGCCCGATGGTGGTTGGGTTTGGTGCCATCTCTGTGGCTTACTGCACTGAAATGGGGACACCAACATCCAGCTGGCAGCGGGGAGAGACAAGCTGGGAATTGTAGCGGGGCTGGGTGTGAGGTGTTGTTTGCTGCTGCCAGACTCACAGCTGCTTTCCCTTCCCAGGGATGGACGCTGTGTTCCCCTGCAGTACGAGAGCTGAAGCTTCATCTCGGCTGGAGGCAGCATTCTCCTCCTGCCCAAGAACGTGGGGGTGCAGCGCATCCCCAGGCTCCTGAAAGCATTTGGAAGCACCTGACTCTGGAGCAGGATAGCTAAGCACATTGCCCCACAAATACCACCCTAACAATGGACCTGGAAACAGACAATTCATGGCTGCAGGTTTCAGCCACAGGGGGACACCAGTGAGCCACAGGCCCCTTCTCTGCATGGTGGAGGGAGAAATGCTCTGGTCCCAAGAGGGGTGTGGGCCCCATCTTATCCCCAGCCCAAGCTGCAAGGCAGTTCTCTGGAAGGGAGCTCTTTCCAGTCCTCCGCGATATCAGCACCAACTGTAGCCACTCACAGACTGTTGCTGTGCCTGGTAACTCCTGAGACTGGGGGCAGCAGAAGGGGATGGGGACACACACTCTCTCTCTCTCTCTCTCTCTCTCTCCCTGAAAAGCCCATTGATCCTGACTTCACTCTATGCAGGGAATATTTAGGTCGCTTCTAAAGAGCTACAAGTGTCAGCAATTCCCAGTCCCCAGAGCTGAGACCCCCCTAACACAGAGCTGGCCTGTGGGACCTTCCACGTGTTCCATGTGCACAGAGCCCCCATCCAGAAGGATCCTCCTGGTGCCCTCCTTCCAAGTCAATAGTAGCATTATCAGTGTGGTGTCCCACTGGTGGGCTGCTGGGGTGGGGGGTATCCTAAGAGATTTCCCAGAGTTAGAGAGCCTTGGTAGTCCATCACTGATGGTTAGATTCATAGACATCTATGATGTCTATGACGCTCTAGGCAGCTGGACTGTGCCCAGTGCTGCTCTGCAGGTGCCCCAGAGTGATGATCTTCCTTCTGGAGACCCCTGGGGTCTGCAGTGTTAATGGTGACTGCTACGGCCTGCACAGTGTGGATGGATGTCTAGCAGAATGTAGTGCCTACACACCTTGCTCTCTCAGCTCACCACGGACTCAGCAAAACTTGAACCCCAGAACAGTGCCTCACTGACTGATTGAGCCACATAGTCCAGAAACAAACAATAAATGCATCTACCCTCAAAGCTTGCAGCTTCCTGATTTTGCCTGACAGAGTAATAGAAACTGCTCAGAACAGTTTGCTCAGCAATCAGCTGATCTGCTCAGAGAACTGGGGTCCTACAAACTGGGGTCCTTAGTTGTCAGATGTGGGCAGATCCCCAACTCACATGGGGAGATGTCTGGCTGGGAGTTGAACTCTCTGAGCCATTTTCTGGCACCATGAGTGCTCTGAGGGACCATCCGTGCACACAGCTCTGCTGTAGGGCCTGTGGGAAGTTACTAGCACACAGAAACTTCCCCTTCAGTTTTTCTGCAACAAGCCGTTGTGTGTCAGTGTCTGCAGCATGCTATGTGAAGTCACTACTGTACATTGCTAGTACCTCATGTAACAAGCTACACGTCCAGGAAATCATGCTGTGCATACCGCTCCAAGAATTGGGATTGGGCTAGATCCCTGAGCTACCTTGTAGCCCTACTTTTCTATGATTCTGTAAGAGGCTGAATTGTGGAATCATAGAGGATTTATGAGGTTAAAAATTGCCCTAAAGATTGGAAAGCTCGAATGAAGCTCCAAATTCTTCACAGGCTTGTAAGAAGAAAACAACCCAGAGAGGCCTAAATGCCCAGACTTGGAAACAATTACCTAAAACAGGTAGGGCCAGATTAACTCTTTAGTGGGCCCTAAACAAACAAACTTGTGGGTCCCTACATTTTCTCACTCAATAATTAAAATATGTAAAATAAGAATAGGGTATGTGCCTAGTTTGCCTATGCATTAATCTGGCCCTGGAAACAGCTATCCAGCAGGTGGCTAGATGCAGTACACATGGGGTTTAAATGTGGTGAGAGGGGAGGGAGCCCAACTCCTTCTACACACTCAGACAAGGGAGCCCAGCACCTCCCAGGCTTTACACCACCTCCCAGAGTGCT